AAACAGTGCAACAATGAATGAATGAAAACCCAAAATCTCTGTAAATGTTCATTAAAACTAATAAAATTTAATTAAAACAATGGTATTATCATAATTTTGATTCTTACCTTTTAACACTGAGGATATATAAAACAAAGTTTCACTAAAAAGGTGAAATCTGATTGAGAATATATACATATAATATTCATGTAGGGCTTATTAACAAGGCCTACCTATAGATGAATGGGCTAAGTAAATAGTCTAAATAGGGCAGTGAGGGAAATATTGAAAACATCTAAAGAAAATATAGCCTAAGTTATAAGTATATAGACCTAATGATGCTAAAAAGTACTAAAGTCAGCTGACTATAAACCTCTATTTGAACCAGATGCTCTGCTGGAGAAGGAGGGGCAATCTCCTCCTGTACCAGTCAGATCCAATTTGATGGTACACACACAATAAAAAAAAAAAAACAAAAAAAAAAACACAAGAAAACCCCTCTATTTGATAAAATCTTTCAAGTACTTTTCTAATTATTGAATGTACTTGAAAGCAGTGACAGTTTTATTTAGACTTCTTAATTCAGGCCATCCCTTCTAATAAAAATACATAAAATGATACTTGAGAAATGAAAGAGTATTATTTATATGCATTAATATTAATTTTTATGTAAGTTCCTCAGACTTCACTAATTATTACATTTCAGTGATTTTTGTTATTTGTAACTAAATATGCATTTTTGCTACGTGGTATATACCTTAATCATAAATAAAAATCTTCAGTACATAGTGTACTGACTAGTAGTGAACCTGACTAGTAGCGCAAAATTATGGTAAAAATGTTTTCAATGTAAATAGGTTTTTTTAATGATATAAAAAAATCCTAAAGACTTTTACAAAAAGAATGGAAGTAAAAATACTAAAAACTTCAGAACCCATTCGGGATAAATGTGATAATTTTTCCATGTGAACTAACATCTAGCCATACCATCATGCTTTAGGTTATATATGCACTGTACAAAAGAGGTCTGGTGGCCTAGGGGCAAAAAATTGTGCTACCAACCCAAAGGTAGTTTGAATCCATCAGCTGTTCTTTGGGAGAAATGGGGGTAATCTCTTCCTGTTCACTTTACACTCTCTGAAAACCTGGCTGGAGGATCAGCTATGAGTCAGTTTCAACTTGACAGCACATAAGAACAACATTTACTGTACATGTACATAATAATCTAATTGACCTCTCTGTTGAAAACAAAGATATGAAGAATTTACTGATGAAAATCAAAACAAACTTGTGGCTTTTAGTATGGACTACACCTCAACATAAGAAAAACCCCACAACAAAATTCGTAAACCCAATAAACATCTTAATAAAGAAAGAAAGAAAGGTTGAAAAATATTTTATTTCAACCCATATTCAACATTCATGGAAGCAGCAATCAAGATATCAAATGAGGTTCTGCAACAGTCAAATCTGTCACCAAGAACTTTAAAAAAGTATTGTATGCAAGACTTGGTCCTATTGTTTTCAGTTGTATTGTTTTCACATGCCTTTCAATTGCATATGAAAGTTGGACAATGAGTAAGAAATTTATCTTTACATTGTGGTGTTGATTAAGAATATCAATATAGGGGAGCTCTGGTGGCCTAGTGGCAAGAAGCTACACTGCAATCCCAGAGATATGTGGTTCAAATCCACCAGATGCTCTGCCGGAAAAGGAGGGGCCATCTCCTCTTGTACCAGTCAGATTCAATTTGACGGTACACACACACACACACACACACACACACACACACACACACAGAAAACAATAAAAAAAATTAAAAACTCAGGATTTAATTAATAAAGACTCACCTTAAAAAAAGAATATCAATATAACACATACTGTCAAAATAACAAATCTATCTTGGAAGAAGTAATGCAAGAATATTCTTTTGAGGCAAGTATGGCAAGTTTTGTCTTACAAATTTTGTGTGTGTTATCAGGAGGGGTCAGTTTCTGGAGAAAGATATCATGCTTGGTAAATTACAGGATCAATGAAAAGAAGGAAGACCATCAAGGAGATGAATTCACACAGAGGCTGCAACAACAGGCTCAAGGCCAGCAGCCATTGTGAAGATGGCTCAGGATCAGGCAGGATTTTCTTCTGTTGTACATGATTACTATGTACAACATAACTTGGAGGTGCCTTGACTG